TTCATTCTAGAATGAAAGAGACACAACTTATATTTATTTCCTAATTATTTTATGGTGATTATGAAATCAGTCAAATCTACTGAACCCATACAGAGATTCATTACTGAAAATAACAGGTAAAATATATATAAAGTTTTTTCTTAAGAAATGTTTGATAACTATCCAGACATTATAAAGATTTTGCATGTGAAATTTGAAAATTTTTAATCTTAAAATGAAAATTACTTTGCATGTTAGATAGGCAACATGCAAAAAGAAAAAAGGCTGATTTATTCTCCATCTTGAAAACGAATCTTTCTTCATAACAATTTTATAACTATAATGTACTTTAAAATATGCTAAAAATCTTAAGTCACAGCCTTAAGTTAAGTTCCTAGAATTTTTAAACTTGATAAACCTTAACATTTTCACTTCATCATTAATATCCAAGACTACCTCTAGCTAACAAACAAATAACAGCATTAAAAATATACAGATTACAACAATATTACATCAGTACATTAACTGTATTGTGCATATTCATGATAATTTAAATATGCTGTGGTGTTCAGTCTACAAGTCCCTGATTCATTCTTTCAATGTTATTGTAAGTATCTCGAATTTGAAATGAAACAAAAAAGTGCCAAAAAATGAATTAAGACCTGCTGCATATCCACAAGTAAATGTAACAAGACAATGCACAATTATTAATTTATTGTTTACAAATTACAGTTTAATGTACCTGAACTTGAAGTGAAAAATACAATTTTCAAGCAACTACAATTTTAAATTTTATACCTAGCGAAGAGTAATAGTTAAATTATACAAATGTATAAAAACACAAGATTCAGAAGTGAACACAGGAATGGTAATAGTACTAGTATTATTGGTAAGGTCACACAAGTGTTTAAAGTCAAAAGCAAATTTCTATTTACAGTGTTAATTATTCTTAATTATGTTAATAACATAATTAAATTATCCATGAACATATAAAAGTAAAAGTCAAAACATATGAAGAAAAACAAATGTATTTCAAAACTATAAATTACCTGTTAAAAATAGTAATACTAACAATAGAAATCAGTAGGCTAGTACTAGTAGTTGTACTATAGTAATTAGTATTATTATATAAACTACTAGTAGTAGTAGTAATACTAAATGAGTAAATCTCTCAACTTACAAGTATAGGTATAAATCAGTTATTCAGATAAGCTTAGAAATAACAAATAATACAGTGAAGCAGGCCGCTTATATTACATAAAATATTTACGAAGTATGTCTGTTGAAAATAAAAAAAGGAAAATGAATAAAGTTACTATTACTTATAGTAACGGTAATTAATACTAGTTTAGTATTTAACTTTTAAGTTAGTAAAAACCGACATTGGATGAAACTGAGAGATACGATGGAATATAATGTTGACGTAGGATGAGATTTCGTGGAATATAGCAACTAATTTCAAAATTTATGCGTTCGCCCATTGCAACAATAATCTTAAATATTTCAAGGAATAATAAAATAAATTCAACAAAACACATCCCTACCAATAACACAAACTTATGCACCCGATCTGTCTGCTCCCGAGACGAATAACGATGTCTGCTTCTAATACACTTGAACCTCTAAATTAAATATTATACTATTTAAAAACAATCTCCAGTCTGTGCCAAACTACAAATAGGCAGTACTGCCCTACCGGCCATGAGCGAAAAATATCACAAAATACAAAATATACACAACATTAAGTGTTGAAATGAAGTATGAAATTCGTTGTAAATAAGAAACACAGAACACCATTTCTATAAGATTATTAACATTTTTAATTCTAAAAATGGGAATCAGGATTTCCCCAAAAATACAGAAACAAGAAGAACTCTACTAAATATTGCACCTTTTAGACATGGAGTCAAATAGTGTTACGTCTCTGGTCGTTTGTTAATTCTCGAAATTCTTTCCGAGAACTTCGGCGATACAAGTC